GCACAGCATTACAAAATAACGTCATACTGAAGAACTCACCCGATTCGTTTGTGACATCCAAAAATGAAAGTGAATCGCCTGCGACCACATTAATAGGTCGCATAAAATTCATATGAATTTGCACAAAACCGCTCGTTTCATCTTTTTGTTCCTATAGAAAATTTGTGATTTGTTCATAACACTGTGAATAAAATGCTCAAAACAACGAAAAAAAAGAATGTTACAAAAACTTTCAGTTTATGTATGCTCCCAAATTTCTATATAACAACTTAGACTTTGAAAATTCCATAAAAAACGACACACAAACCTCAAGAATATTGTCATTTTCTGAGAACATTTTCAGATTTGAACAAGAAGTCACAGCTAATTCCTGACATGAACTCAACGTACTGTCAGCTGTTTTACAATCTAGTGTTACCAGCGATTTACATTTTGAGTGACAAGTGTAATTACAGTCTGCAAAGAAAAGTCCAACAGTTTTAGTTTTTCGAAATTTGGGTGTTCACTTAAAAAAAAAAAAGAAAGCATACACTTCCTGGGATTTCATTTGAGATAAACAGACATAAGTGCTTCCATGGCTAACTACTCTCAAGAACCAAAATCATCCAACACCTGTAAGAATTTCATAGAATTAACTTACTACCACATTTTACCGCTCGTGTCAAAAATCCCCACATAAAATCTCCACATTTATCACACCAGGTTGGATGAGTAACAGACAGTGATCTGAAACGATCAAAAAATATTACCAAATTTAGACTAAGAAGATCCATTTTGTTTGAAATATCTTACAAAAAGTCGTGTCCTTTTCCTGGATGACTACAACCCGTAATGAGATTCTTCAATGGTCCAAAATGCTGCAAAGCGAGAGTATCATCATAATCAGCTTCTTCCCATAACCACGAACCTATCGTATCACTCTGTAAATCGAACTGAACTTAAAATCGACTTACGACTAATTTCATACTGCATAGAAACATAAACAACTATAACACATCAAAAATGCATGCTAAGATGATAAGAACAACAAAAGTAGCAACAGCAATTGCAGTGAAAATGAAAGATAAAAAAGTAAATTAAATATAATTATCAAATTATTTAAAACAGGAATCATCGAACTCACTCCATTTACATCTATTTCTGGATGAATGCAAATCTGTAGCTTCTTTGAAACATCATCCAATATCCGCACTGGTTGATCATTTTTGTAGTCCGTTTTTTTTTCTGCTTTGTTACCGGGTAACTAAAAATCATAAAACTATTTCTACTAGTCGTTTCAGAAGCTATAGCTCTTACTTCAGCATCAGAAAATGTATTTCACCTTTGTATTTCAACATCAAATCGTGAGGGATAAAGTGCATTAACTGCCTCCTCCCATGGTTTTATTTACAATATTAAAAAAATTTTTAAAATGTGAAAAAAAGAACAGATTTTCATCAATAATCACGGATTCCGCTCCTACAAATCCACCTTTCTCTTTTACCTCTAGTTAATAATCCAGATAACAGGAAAGCATTTACCACTTCCTCTGTCGGCGCTACGTAATTAAAATTCTTAACTCCGAGTTGGCTCAGCCACTCTGGCATATTAAGCTGCGAGATCCTTGCACGTAATCCAGAAAACCACCTAAAAATACGAAAGGTAAGCCTTTGCAGTTAAAAGTGAATGTAATTAATGCTAATTTTTGGTGTTCTTAAATGACTAACTTGATCCAAAATACCACGAAAAAAATCTGCAAAGTGAAGTTTCGATTCAAATAAACAACTGGTTACATTAAATAATTGAACACAATCTATTAAAATCTTTCATATCTCGTTTAATTTTCACATCTAAGAACAACATGGAAAAGTGACAAATGAAACCGACTAATACCTCGGTTGTTGAGTAGCAGATTGACATGATCGTACATTCTTCCCATCACTTTCGTTGTTACTGTTCCCACCATAATCCAAGGTCTTACTCATATTAGCTGTATCACATCAGCTTATCTAGAAATATTGTATAATTAGATAATGATCTACGCCGTATATGAAGGTAAGATCCCTCTTACGAATAGGAAACGTCCTCCAAACAATAAACAGTTAACAGCAAGACAGACCGAACTTTACACACTAGCGAAACAAAGTTAGAGTAAAATCCGAAATCACAGGTGCATAACGGTCGAGGAACATCGCGATCGAAATGATTTAAATGGGAATTCAGTTTCGAATGGATTTAAATCATTAGGTTGTCCTAGGGAAATCATCAATTATCTGTCCTAAAAACCTAACGTAAGAGCAATATTTACGGTTCCCTACTCATTCTACCTCATGTTCTAAGCTCCCCCTTACGGAACTCTCATCATATCCCTGAACATTTCTAACCAACAAAGCGAGAACAACCCTCATCATACTATTCGCTGCAATCGAAATGAAGAGAAAAAAGAATTTGAATGACACGAATTTTCCCTCTTTCTTTTCACTTCATCGTTCCTCTCTCTCCTCCCTAAAAGCAAATTTTGAGTAGGTAAACAGAAACTGACGACAGCAGATAGAATCAGACTTTCAAGGACTGTCACCAATATTAGTGGGAAGGAAAATTAAATGATTCAAATCGTGAAATACTCAAGGTACGACTATAGAAGTACATCAGATAAGCAATGCATGATTGATTCGTAAGAATTTCTTAAAGTCTGACGACATTTCTGACGTTTATTCAAGAAAAAAGGACCATATTATTAGGAGGGTTGAGCGAAAACACATGAATAGATGAAGCGATATAAACAGATATTCCTGATATCGAATTTAGGCAGCGCTTTATGATAAAACAACCGAACATACGATTCAGTGATTCAGTGTTATTCGATGGATAGCCGTTTGATTACACTTTGGTCTTCCTGGAGATCGATGATTAAATCAAATTTCAAAGTTCCGTAAGACTGACACGAAATTGTTGTAAAAATTTATGATATGCTACACAAGGAACCCCAAATCGGAGTTTCAGTAGTTGAAAGTACTGGTTCCCTCGCAATTTTCATTCTGTTTAACTTGAATGAAGTGTTTTTAATACCTATACAATCATTCTCACGCCCACTCATCTTGTCTACCCGCTCGGTCTGCACTTTTTAGCTACGAAACAGTTTGATATACACACCTATCTATTAATCAAGTGATAACCACGAAACAATTTGTAAGAAATTTTTGTAGGCTGAAAATTCGATTATAGGAATAATCCTCATACTACTGTCCTCCTTTCATTAGGTCTTACTGCCAAAATTAATCCACAGTCCTACAACCATTTCCCGTTTCGAAATCATAACTCCCCACACAGTTCCAGATCATAGGTTGTATCCACTTTCGCATAACAATAATGATTGACTCCAAACACGACTATCGCCAACAACTATCCAAAGAAACTTTCCCACATCATCCTCTCGTCTTCCTTTTGCCTGTTTAGAAATTTGTTAGCTTAATAAGGACTGAAAATGATAGACTATGAGGCTTGATATCACATACCTCTCTTCCCAAATATACTGTGATTTACAAGCGATTTATTACACTTCAAGATCATGAATCAGCAACAGCAAGGATAGAATACGTCCACAAAATACAATGAATAAAACGCATCATTGAAACAATGCGATTACTGGACTGCACCAATTACATTAAAGAAACATGGAATTAAACCAGACTTCATTTTCTGAGTGAAAAGAAGAGTAAAAAAATACTATAACAAGCTTTTTTGGAAACTTAATTTGTACGTTGAAAATACTCTAATAGTCAAGATAGATCCAAATATTACCTATAAACACCATAATTTATACCGAAAACAAATCGAAAAGATTATGCTTTTTGTCAGTAGAAAACCCATTAAACGTGTATTTGGCACATTTCAAACAAGTAATACTCTCTGAAGTCTTAAAAAACCGACGTCACCTCTCCCCACTGTGAGACTTCCCCTTAATCGAATGGATGTTAGCTTCCTTATAATTTCGCAACGAAACAATCCTAGCAATCTAAGTTGGAATCTATGATACTGTCAACAACAACCTGTTTCATAACGCATACAGGAATTAGGTTGGCATCAACCTAACCAAAAAAAAAAAAAAAAAAAAAAAAAAAAAAAATGAAATAGAAAGCGATAGTACCAGCAGTACAATAAAATCAATTAAAAGAACAAAAGCAAATAAAGAAATCTCCTGAAACCCCTCAACATAAATTATAATAACGACACCGGTCACCAATCGACTAAAACAATACCAGTTCGGTAAATTAATAAAACTCTCCGAAGGCAGGGCTACAAGACGATACAATCACTTACCTAAAAATTTTTTCCATTCAAAATCAATTCTCACTTCTCAATCATCCCCTCCTCCCTCAAATAAATTAAGAATATCACAAGATACAATATGGAAAACCTGCCTCTGAATCATGAATATAAAAAAGAAAGCAGAACAGTATGCATAATACAATCAAATACTTAAAAACAGAAAAACAGACAAGCGACACAAAAAGGTTGCAAACTGTGAGCTGCGAAGAAATACTTGAATTAAAAAAGTAACAAATGGCATGAGTAACTCTGAACGTAAACTGAAATTTCCAGAAAGAAAAATTAAATTTATTATAACTTAATTGCTATGGAAAATCCACAGACAGACTGATAAGTAGATACTTTAAAAAATCGCCAGTAATTTATAATTAATTGACTGATTGCAAGTCTGGGAAGTCTGTGCTGTCAAATTTCGAATATGATCAGATTTAATCAGTTTCCAAGTAGAAGAAAAGGAAGAAGAAAATTCTTGGTTTTTAAGAATGAGAACTGATTAAAAAATTTTCTTTCTCAAAACATACGATCCGAAAAATGCACACCAAACAAAAAATAAAGATCATATAAGTTTTACAATCATCATTTCAAAAAGGATAAAAGAACAAAGAAAAAAGGAATCGATCAATCGAAAAGAGTTTGTATGCAATTTTTCAGTTAGCAGAACCAGTAAAAAACCGGTATATACGGCTGTTTTACTAAATTGTTGCAGTTGTTACTGGTGGTATGACTGTCGTACTATTGCTGACATTTGGAGTGGTGCGACGAGCCGATGGACTGGCCATTGGTGATTGTGTTGGAGTTACCATTGATGGAGGCATGCGTTCATTGATTTTGTCTAACCGTTTCGCTTCATCGAATGACTGAATCCGATGACCAGGTCCCAACCCGGATAATGCTACAAATACTGCATATAACTCGGTAACTACATCTTCCGTGAATGGTAGCTGCTGTACAAATGCGCTCCACCCGTGACCCACCGTAACCTTTTGAATCCAGCCAGAGAATTCCATCGTGGTCAAACAACATCAACAATTAAAAAATGAATGATGTGAGTAGCTCCATAGCTACTTTCAATATCTGCTGTTTTAAAAGGACCGAGACTATTTGGTAGAAGTTTGTGATCAGTGGTAACCGTAACAAAGTACTATAGGAACGCATGCGTACTAAAACAAACAATAAAAGCAATAGAAAGTGGCAAAGAAAATAATATCGCAGTCTGTAGGGCAAGTGGCTACATAATTGCAAGTAATCGGAAGGATTTTCCAGTGATATCGTAGAATTAAACAATTCTACAAATTAGTGACAAGCCAATTTCACTAGTCGATCTTTCTTATACGACAAACCAGCCTATGAAATTCAACTCAAAAATATACGGCATACATTCTTCTAAATTATGAACGCACTTAGAGATGACACAAAAGTAGAAAATTGCCGGAACATATTAACACAGCTCTTCGACCGACTTCTCAACCCGTCATGCCGGAGTTCGAATCCTTCAGTTATATCACTGTTCCTTTTTCACGCCTACATTGAAGGATTTTAAAATAAAATCTAATTAACAAGCTTAATTTTTCCAATTTTAGATTAAAATAATTTTTGCAATCTTGCAAAAAAAAAAAAAAAAAAAAAAAAAAAAAAAAAAGGCTCAGCAACTTAAAAACTGGAAAAGTGGCTGCATTTTCAAAATACTTTTTCAGTCCATTCAAAGCTCTCTCTCAACTTCTCTACTTTTATCTGCACTACATAAAACACGTGGTATGCTGACTAAATATCGAAATAACGAACTAACTTTCACCTGACAAAAAATACAAAAGCAGGAAAAACACGGTGGAGTTTTTGAAATTTATCATGACTGAAACAGATTTAGAAAAGATGACAAAAGAAAATGATTACTAATAAAAGCCCCAAGAGCAAGCAATGCCCAAAAAATTAAAAATTGTAATGAAGTAACTTTGTATCTTCAATCTAATTTTCGTGAGATGTGACCCAAATTCTTTTCGCGTTTTGTTATTAAGAAACAATGACAGAAAAGAAAGCAGCCATCTCATTAATTTTGATGTAGAATAGCATTTTAAAAATAATTCGCGATGAAGATTTAAAAGTTGCTAATACAACAATGCAACCAATAATAAAACAAGCTAGCACTTTTTTTTCAATTTCTAAACCTGAGAAATCGGAAGAAAATGCACCACAGACTACGATATTATTAGACAATAAATAATAGTAATTCGTTTGTTATTAAAGTTGAAGTGTTAATTCATTTAAATCCACTCGAAAAATTAGTAAAAAAAAAAATGAAGTACCCTCTTGAATTCCACGTCTCCCTTCCTGAAGTGTGAACAGTGGTAAATTGCCGGTTGGTGTAAGTCCCTTTAGTTGTAATACAGACTCACTTTCTTCTCTGAAAAAAAAAATCACATGCGAACCGAAATATAATGTAAAAGAAAAATCAAATATTCTACAACAGAACATCAGTCAATTGCCAAAAACTTCACGCTTGCTTTTTCTTATCTGCTATCTTAACAGTACTTGAGACAAGTGATCATTTAATTTCTACTCCAGAAGGGTTCCCAACCAGCAGTATAATCAACAATGCTTACAGGCTCAAACAATGCACTCGAAATTGATATGCAATAAAATCTAACCTTAATTCGTGAACTTCAAACTTTAATTCAGAAAAACTTTTTTCCCAAGTTTCACTAATATGAGAGAAGATTCTATTTCTACATTCTACCTACGACATAATGAACAGTGTCAAAAAGATAACAATCCGTTGCTTTAAACCCAAAGCAAAACAAGACATGCGTCTACAACGCAAAATTTAGGAGACAACATGCAATAATTTATATCAGCAAAAAACAATGAAAAAGTTAATTAACTGTGTATAAAAAGGCACAGAAAACCTAGATAAAAATGTCTAAACAGAGCTAGTTTCTGTTTTAAAACGATCACATTTGAAATAAATTTACATAAGGGATTAAATAAGCAAAAAAAAAAAAAAGACCTTAACACTGAGAAAGCGCGAGCCATTTTACCGATTGCTCGAATTTTATGCCGAATAACTTCCTTCCGTGCCGATGGAACACCACCTGAAGTGAAGAAGAAATACGCATATGGTAAATTCATTATTCAAATATTGTCTGCCATAAGGACACCTGAAATATTAAATATTTCCTGTGAATTAAAGAGAAATAACCTAATTATATCTTAGCTGGCCAAATCAGAAAAAATTAACGATGCTTTAGAACACCCATTTTTCTTCTTATGATCAATTATGTAACAGCATTTTCCATGAAATCTTCTTAAAAGAAAAAATGTGATGAAAGGAAGATGAGAAATATGATTGTCATTCGATTTAAATGCATCACTATATTGCCGTTTACTCCAAACTCAGTAATTCAGATGTATGAAAAGGGAAAACCAAAAAACGAAATGCACTAAGAACTGTTCTACATAACTTTGATGGATAATGCCTGCACAACAACCATGGGATTATTCAAAACATGCTATTCCAAAATCAATTAGTACTATAACAGGTGTGACAAATAAAAATGAATCAAAACTTCACAAGAGACTGTTCCATCACTTCTGCTTATTTTATGAGGCTTTTACCAATTTCTCTAGCAAACTTTTCAGAAATTATAAATTTCAGACAAAAAGTTCACCACAGCGTCTAACTGCCGTTTTATGAGCATAATTTTATTTTTATAAAAAGAATGAAAAGAAAGTCGTCTGGAAAGTCTTCCCTTTAAGGAAGTAAAAAATAAAATCCAAACTACTCCACTGCTTCATGAAAGTTCAATACATGCAAGAAAAACGCCGAGAACTCACCTTCGTCTTTGAGCACAGGCATAAAGATGAATGGATTATAAACAGAAAAAAAAAGACCTATGATATACGGTACTTTACAAAGCAAATCGCCTCTTCATTTCTTAAATTAAAACAATAGAAAAACAATGAAACTTGATATAATGAAAAAGAGGATAAAATCAAAAGTTAATCTGGCAAAAAATAGGATAAATACTTTCTTGTCATGCTTCCCACAAATTTATAACACCAAGAAATTCAAAGCATTAGTTCGACATCAAAAATAAACTGTTAGAATGAAAATCACACAATGACCTTAGCATCAGTTAAAAATGTATTGAAAAAAAAGAAGCACAACGGCAGATACTGTCGAGAAACAAACTTGATCTATCCGAATATCTGGATTAAGTGTAATTCAAGAACTACAAATTCTAATCTTTTTTTCGCCGTTGCGGATATGTACGACATTATTTTCTTCTCGAACCAAAAAAACTAAAACTTGAAGTAACAATATATATGCAAGAAAGCAACATGAGAAAATGGTTTCAACTTTCAGAGATCAATGAGTCAATGAGTATAATACAGTGCATAACTCTGTTATGCATTGTATTATAATTAAATGGCATCACCCTTTTCTTACGTGAGTTTGAAAAAAAAAAAAAGCTCACATGAAAATCATTCACAAGCTGATAACATGCCCGATTACTCTGCCTAATAAATAAGCATAACCAAGCACAAAAGAGAAGAAACTCTTTTTGACTAAAACCTTTTACAAAGTGACATGCAACCTAAGTAAAGAAAGAACAATACCAAAAGTCTATAACATGCGCTAATAAATAAAGCAAACGGTTACAACTAAGCATACCTTCGAATGTGTCATCCGAATCGGCCATCAGTTCGTCATCCGAACAAATATTCAATATATGCACGAGCATTTCAGTCACTGGAATTAATTTGACGTAACCCGTAAGTTTCCTGCTGTCGCTTTAAATTTAAGATTTCCATTTTACTTTCAAACAATAAGAAATGCAGACGTCAAATTATGGAAGAAAGTCAACTTTTCCAAAAGCACTTAAACCTCGGATGATGCAAAGTTTTGTTGTGCCATGTGCTGTTTATTGAAATATTTAATTACATTCACCACTTAGACAAACCTTTTTCCCCAACAAAAGGAAGGGACCATGTAAACACGTCCATAAAATTAGGCAGCCAATATGGATGCGGTGAACAATTGAATTGCCGTATATTCATCACATTATTTTCGTACTTTAATATCGCAGCTGCAGTTTTTTTCATTAGAAGCATAGCATATGAATAAATTTACTAAATAATTTTAAATAATCATAAATATCGATGGATAAGCAAACAAGATTTTTTTTTTTTAATTTCTTTAAAAAAAAAAACAAAAAGACAAAAAAACAAAAACGAACAAGGAATAATGACTTACCTTTGTTGTTATATACATCAAGATAATTTGGAGCACTAAATATAGTTATTAGAGAAGGGAACCCGGTTGCTTGCGATTTTCGATACATTCGATACCTTCAAAAAAGGAAGAATTTTCAAAAAAGGACAACAAGAACAATGTAAGAATTTTTCATTATTACTTCGTAATATAAAGGACCACTTTTTTTTTGTGTTCAATAGTTTTTTTAATCCAGAAATATACCAAAATTAATGAAAAGCATTACCCGGCATCTTGAGCTTCGTGAGCACGGATAATTGACAAGAGGTTATTATGCTGCAAGAAATCACAACATGCTGCATAGCTGCAAAACAAACACACAGTAACAACAATGCTCAGCTCTTTGTACACTTCCAAGTAACCTTATCCCTTTACGCCAGGAAAATAAGTAAAAAAAGTTCTGAAAAAATCTGAACCTGATTTCCCAGTATCTCCGCACACTTTTGCTGACTCTGCTCTTACCTTCTAGAATAATTGAGAAATGACTTATATACCCTTAATAAATACTTCCAATATATTTCAAGTACTCCCGTATCAATTCATTTTATCTATTTTTCCTTTTATTATTCTCACACATGAAAAAAAAAAAATAGTACTAGTTCTGTGTAAAACATATAAAGGTTCTACAGATGTTTCTACAGCTCGGTAAAACCGTAGCAATAGAAATCATCGAAATTTTTGAATAAAACAAACCTATAAAAATACGAACATCCCCGGACGGAATTGTGTGAAAATTGCTCCGAATTCCTTTCACTGCCAAAATCTTCTAGTGGATCAGACCAGAGTAAATCACACATGGGACCAAAAGCTGGTGGTTCTTTGAATCGATCCAACTTAACAAAATTTAATTGAAATTACCAGTAACTCATTTCTGGGCTCTTCGAACACGGAAAAACATCAAATTTACTTCTTAATGGTTTTGTAAGTTATACCTTTTTAATGTCTTCTAAGGTATGGATCTCTGGAGAAAGGCCACCGTGGACACAAAGGAATTGCTGATTCATAAGTGCTGCAAGAGGAAGAGCATCAAACGAATCCATACAAGCATCGTAAACCTTTTCGGAATATTTGATCTTACCTGGAAAAGATAACTTTCTCTCCTGACGAGAAACAAAAATTTTTTTTTCGAAAATGTGATAGTTCTGAAATCAAAAAACGATAATTCGAACTTACACTCTTGCTTGAAGGTGAAATATTCCGTAAGATGGCGGCATTCGTGGTTTCCCCGAAGCAAAAACAACGTTGTTGGGAAACAGATTTTAAGTGCCCACAAATACAACACACATTCGATCGAAAAATAACCCCGATCAACATAATCTCCCAGAAAAAGATATTTAGTCGATGCAGGCGACCCTCCCACCTAAACAATAAGCTATTAGAAACAGTGGTCAAACGAAACACTTTTCCACACCACAAAGAATTTACTACGCAAAAGTAAACATGTTCACATAAAGAAACGACTACAATGTTTTCGATAATCCTGAAATTAAGCTCAGAATTAACTAAATAAGCGTGTCCTAGAAACAGCAATGTATTGGTAACTTAAACTAAATGGCTTATAATGAGTCAATAACATCAAACGTAGCAGTTTATAAAAATTCAAAGAGTACTAAAAAAACACTTCGATTACTGATTTGATAAATTAAAAATCAAAAAACATGAATTTGTCATATGTATCAAAAATATATTTCCATCGTAATAAAATCATATTTTTAACTAAGTTAACACAAGTGATAAAATTAATCGGATGTCCCATAAGAATTTTTTCCACAAAATATTAGCAACTAAAAACCTCAAAAAGTTTCATTAAATCATAAAATTGGCCATGTATATCACCGCATACGGTGACTGGTGCTTCAACGTCAAGCATTGTTTTTTCCTGACGAAAAAGGGTTGTGCATTCCGAAATTATTCGTAATGCAACCTGAAATATTGTATTAACAATATTTTAACGATATTAAATTTTATGACTCCAAATTCAGGCTACAATATATATACAGACCTAGTAATCTCAGTTTAAAAAAAAGGAAATTTCACTCACCTTTGAAACTTTCAGTGTGTTATTTTTGATTACTCCAGAAACACTACATCTGTACAAGGTACTGAGCAATGAAATAGAAATTGTGCATATGAAATGACTACCTCCTCCTGGATGCGACCTTCCTTGGTAAAATGCTCTTTCAAAATGTCGGAACGCGGTTTCGATGTCCGCCTATCATAAACATCCTCCATACTCAATTTTTCGCTAATTGGAAATTGAACGCCTGCAAAATAACATGTTCTGAAGAAGAGAGAACTTCCATATGGTCGAATAATAAATTCTTGGTGATATAACTATTCCTTATTATTTCATTACAAAAAAATCAAGAAACAGCAATGTGATGAGAGTTGTTCATTGGGAGAACATACACAGATCAACATTTCAATTTTTCTCCATCGGGTTAAAAAAAAGACGGCATTATATTTTAATAAATTTTGTGATTTTTTTCGAAGATTTAATTTCATCTCAGAAATAATTCTAGAAGTATATATACGCTTTCCACCGATCCAAAATACGTAGAAAGGAAATATTACGACGTACTTTTAATGGCTCGTTCCATAGTAGTCCTATTTGACGCTTTAGTACTGTTGGCGTTGACCATGGCAGCTCTATCGCCACCAGCTGAAGTTGTTGCCATTTATATACAACAAAAGGCACAACCTTTAATGTGAGTTTATTAGGTACGCATTTAGCGTAGCGTAATCAATTAATCAGTACTATGCTTGTCTTGGAGTGCGAACGATTTTTTTCCAATACATCCAATCTACAACAAACGCTCATTTTTAGTTTTACTTCAAGAAAAACTGAAACTAAATAAGATTTTGGAGGTTTCTGAAGTTCTCCGAGCAGTTTGTCGCGTAAAGAACAATACGTACGCATAACATACAACTGATAAATAAGTGAAAATGAGAAATAATGGTAATGATCTCGTCTCTATATTATTTATATAAGCATTATGGTGATTCTCAAAGTATACTGGAAATGGAAGAAATACATACGATATGCAGTGACAGGATTCTTGGCTAACCCAAACAAATAGCCAGATACTTGATTTTGCTAGAAGCATATCGCTGTGACAAGCTTTCTAAATCCTCAGTTCAAAATATATGAAGTGATATGTAATAGGCGTTTAACAGTAATAATATTTTTGAAAGTGCCATGTTTTTATTTGAAACAATTAATGGAAAAGATATAGCGAAACTATTATTTCTTCCCGCCTTTCCTTCTGCCTCCATTTTTTCTTCGCCGTTTATCTTCTGAAGGTTAAAAGAAAAAAGTTCAAGTTCCCTACTAATAATCGTTCAATCAACCAAATGGTATAAAGTGCAACTGAAGTTTTCTGAAAAAGTATCCCAAGAATGATTCGTTTCCAGAGCCCCACAAAACACTATCCACGTGAACCCCACAAGACACTTGAATATCGTCAGACTTTTGCAAGTCGACTACAGACCTGTTATGTGTATAATGTGGGTGTTTAATTGGTTACGACTTTACAAGTATCTTAGTTAATTTAATTGGCCATATGTCGTTTTTGACTTTTGATCTTGAAGGTCCAAGCTACTTTTTAAAATTCTTCAGGTAATGCCAGTAAACTTCATCTGTATAAGCTCTATCAGTGCATCAAGATGATCTGCACAAGTTAAAGCAAATCGATATTTCTCTTTAACTTTTCTAATATTGATGTAGGACTTTTAAAATTTTCAAAGGCAATGGAACAATACGAAAGACATTTAGCAGAAGGATGTATTGGTATCCGATTAGTGACCTCTTCTCTCTCTCCCTATCTTTTCGTCAGCAGTGTTTCGACGACAGCTGGACAGAATGTCCTCAAGTCTCATTAAGGTAACTCACGAAAATCCTTAACTCAACCCAGCACTTTTTTCTTTTTGCTATGGATAGATAAAGATGGATGGGCGTACGGGTGTGTGTAAGCATTTGAGGATGTGGCGGCAAGATATGAAGTGGGTTCGTGAAAATTTCGGTAGGCGTGGATGAGAAAGTGTCAATATGAGATGTATATGAATTGATATGGATATCTATAGATAAAGAAAAGTTCAACTATAGTCAATTTTTGTAGGACTGCTTTCACCTGTCATTCTTTCCTATTACCTCTTCCCGCTTTCTCTTTTCTCTTTTCTCATTCTTCAGTCTGCATTCTTAATATCAACGTTATGTGGTATGAAAAAAAAAAAAGAAAAAGGCATGCAATCGTTAATGTGCATTTATATTTGCTTATGATCCATTTTTAGGATTGACATTCATAAAATCTTTCTACTTTGTTTCTAGTATACGACAAGAGCTTAAAGCATTACTTACGCTTACGATGATATAAATTTACTAGTCAGTAACAAGTTAAAGATTCCCCAATGGTTCTCTTATCTGTATATTCGGGCACATCGTCTAATTGGAAATATCTTGATAAGATGACGCAGGAATTAATCTGCGAATTTTCTGACACAATTTGGTATGCGTGAGGTAGCATTTTGACTTGCCATGATCTCATTCTGGAACATCGAGTTAAAACAAAGATCTTAAGGGAGGAACCAAGAAAAACAAGTGTGACATAATTAAGCAGCGAAACAGGACTTTCCGCCTTCCCCAACAAGATTTCTGATTCATAAACTCAATTTACTTCAATCAAGTACAAGCAAAGTTGCTTGATAATAGCAAATGTGAACGAACTATTGTCTTAAAATCTAGAGAGCTGTCAAGTGTTTCTCGATACATTCTCATTTGTTCAACACAAAGATGCTAATTTACAGTATCAATTAGTTTAGTTTTAACCTATATGTTTATACGTCGGATATTTAAGAATAAGAATTTTAAAAATCAATTTCCAAAAAATTTTCACACATCTTTGTTTGCAGTATATCAACCACCTACTGGTTTGTTTGCAGCTGTTATGAATTAATCACTACAATCGAGATAAAATAAGCTTAGTTCAATGATAGCCTGACTGCAAGCCGAAAATGTTTGTTATGTCAGCCGTTAAACTGTCCTTTTTTTTACATTTGCTAATTCTGCCTATCCATGGAAATAATCAATTATCTCAAAGAAAAAGAGAAAAAATTCCATTTAGTTCATAACAAAAATATTAATTTTTAAGTATTTCAAGGAAATAAAATCGGTCAGATATATATTACCCATTATCATTACATGAATTCCATGCCTCATATTTGATTCGAATGAAATCTTAGCAAAAGTTATGACTGTACTTTTGAAAAATTAGAGACCAGTGAATAAATCGGCACAATTCAATATTTCATACCGTCGATTTTCGATAACAGAACATGTTGGAAGATATGCAATTAGGGCATCATCATCATTTCTCACCTTGCACTATGTGTCCTGATCCTTACTTGATGGTTATAACAAATGAATGCCAAAATGAAACCTTTGATGCGGAAAAAACAAATGTGGAAACTAATACCCGAGAATAAGAAGTTTTTGAGTGAAAAGCGCAAAGTAAATGAGCCGGTAGGTAAGAAATGAAAGTATGAGGTGTGGAGCATTACTGCTTCTTCAAGCTGTATTACGACTCAAAATGATCGAAACAGATGTTTTGAGGGCAATAAATGTTCAAATGCCCTACCAGCTAACACGAAACTTCTGCACCCTTCCTAACTCGCCTTCTTCCTTCAAAAATTATGAAATTTCAATTTAAAAAAAGGAGTTAAAAAATTCGGAACATGTAATATATGGAAGAAGTATGTGTGAGAAAGAGAAAAAGAGGGGAAAGGAGAAGGATATGTAGAGAGAGAGAAAGAGAGAAAGCTTGCACAGGGTTAAAGAAACTGGAACAAAAAGAAAAGCATTCAGATGTCCTGAAATATACGACTCAGTAGAAGATATTATTCGGAAAGTCCTGCAAATGCTTGACATAATCTGAATAGTCGTAGCAACGGAGTGATGCATGAAAGTATTCCGGAAGTATTTTGTTGAATAAGCTGAAACACATTTGATTTATTACTTTTGCAGGAGCTGATTGCTTCCTAAAATGCTAGACTGTTCGTATTGAAAATTAGTGTGAAGACAAAATACTGTTATTTATAGCATATCTTTCGGTTCGTATATATTCTTTTTTTTTTTATATTCTTTTCGTTGCTAATTTCATATTTCAAAATTTTCCCTTTTCTTTCTTTGGAATATATTTCAAAAGATATTTACAATTCTCTAAGTGGACAAAATGGATAACGTGCGATAAATGAACTAAGCTGGAATATTAATGTTTTCACAGGGTCTTTTTTATCAATCATTTTGATCATAAGCACAAATGAAGCAGACAAGAGCATCGCAGGAGCGGAAAATATTTGCCTAGTCAATAGGGACACATGGAAAAACAAATATATATGTAATAGATAAATTCGAAATATTTGATACAGATATATTTGAAAAATGGAAATTTGAAAGAGGAAAACCGTAATGAGTAGAATGGAAAGATATGGAAACAGAGAAGAAATATATGGTGAAGCATCCTAAAACAATTCCTGAAATGAATATTTAACATCATCTCGAACACTCATGCCACTTTTCAAGTAATATCTCTTACTTCAGCAAAATTCAGCAGGAAAACCTGATGCATCCGTTGCATTTGCTTCAAGAAATGGGAGAAACTTTTCGCTTTAATAAGTTTTCCACGAACAAAGATGACATTGGTGGATTTACTGAATAACTTTAGTTGTTTCCGATATGGAAGGAAAGCACGGAAGGATGCACCCTTTTCCCGACGACATGTCCTTTCCTGTTGAAATAAAAGAAATGAAACAGGTAACTTGAACTCAAAAGTAGAGAGAGAGAAAGAAAGAAAAAAAGGAGATGAGATAAGCAATTGTGTACAAAAGAATTATTGGAAGAGATACTTACGAATTCCGCAATTTAATGTAGAAAGGCTGGATAATAGAGAGAGAGGGAAAGAGAGAAGGAAGACGAAAAAGCTCGCCTAAGGAAGAGCAAGTACTGCTTTGCAGAAAAATGTGTAATGTGGTTGAGGGGAAGAGGGACCTCCCTCCTTCTATCTTCTATAAGCTTGCTATTAAGCTGAGCCTTGAATTTAGCTTTGCATTTTGTCTGTCAACTGTCACAAGCGGCTAATACCCACCTCCTCTCCTCTCCAAATGCCTTCGACATACCAAAATTTTTTTACTGTATTTTAGGTTTTCATTAATTAATATACAGAAGAAATAGTTTCCAAAAAGCTAAAAGTCATTAATATATCGATTTTGCTCCAAAGCAATAGAAAGTATAGCAAGAGTGCCATGTAACCTCGATGAAGTAAATAGGTTAGGCTCATAAGAAGTAAACAATTATGTTTTCTTGGCTGTCAAAGCTGTTTATATTTTTTGATATTTTGCTAACTGTTCCGATGACTGCTGAAGTAAAAATAGGTAAGAACGCAACTGAAAATCAAATACTTTTGTTTGCAAACATTATATACTATCAATTCTCCCGCTGTTATATAACAAAACTTGATATAGTGCAGAGAGACCCAAATTTATTATAATCAGCAAAAGATGACAAGTAAAATGGATGGAAATTAACTGGACTTTTGATTAAAAAAAAGCCATATTATGTACTAACTCCTCTCATCTTCTCCTTCTGATTAATGTCCTGAAATAATCTGGTTGCAATTTCAGAATT